CACACACAGATATCCCTCGTGATATCCCCCTCGTGCCATGGGATTGGTGCCCAGGAGAGCAGCAGGTGCCAGTGGAACTCCTCGTGTCCATTCTCCCAACCTGGAGAAGGGATAAGGCAGGTTTGTAGCTCAGTTGCCTTGAAAGTCAGAAACACTTAAAAGAAAAATGGCAAATGCTGTTGGTTAGGGTGGTCCAGCATGAACAAGAACCCAAGACTCTCCCTTAGACTCTCACGTCTGGGATTTTTTTGAGATCAAAGGAGAGCTCAGTATTTTGAACAAAATGTGCAAGGAGGGCCCACCCTTCCTGAATTGCACTTTTAGTGGTGTGTTCTGTCCTGTAGTACTTCACAAAAGGGTTTGGGTTTCTCCCCTCCCTGCCCTTTTTTAATATGTATCATGAGAGAAATTTAATAGATGTTTTCACAGGATCTCTGATCCTACACTGCACTCATTGTGCCTGTGTTCTGTGGGCAGGGCTGCTGATCATTAACAGTTTAAGCCTAGCACCTCTAATTCATCAGAAGTTCATGTAATGTATTACTTACATTAGATGTAGGTGCCAAGACTGACCTGTAAACCTGAAATTAAATTGGGACGACAAAATTAATTTCACTTAGATTGTAAAAATTAGACTATAAATGGAATTCCTGTGGGAACTGTGTAAATCTTCTTTGACGTTGATTTAATGTAATTCTTTTCTTAATAGGGTAACTTTAAATTGTGTAACTGGTACATAGTTTTAACCAGCACAGATTTGTAGCAACTCTTGCAGTAAGATAAGTAGTAACAGGAACATTTTAGGGTGTTTCTGAATTTAAAGATCACACTTTATTGCAGATGACTACACAGGCATCACCTCCCCAACCCTGAGCAGACAGGTAAGGATACAAAGCAATCGTGTCATTTGTTAAACGTCTCCATCCAGTCAATAAATTTTATTTTATAAAATGCACATGCATAGGATAACACAAATTCAGGGTAAGGATCTATTTTATGTTCAAAACTGAAGTCAGAATCAGAGTTTCAAGGTTAGTACCTGAATCAGAATTTCATGTCTGAATCACAATAGATAATCCCTAGTCTGGGAAAGATTTGAGTTTAAGACTTAATTTTTCAAATTGGGTCCAGGAATTCAAGGTCTGACTAGCTCTGGAGCAAAAATTACTGTTCTCTTAATAGATGGCAAGCAAGCGTGCTTGTTTTATGCATGAAATTAAATTGAGGACTGAAATTATTCTGAATCATTCAAATGTTTATGCTCTAGATGACATATTCTGCTTGCTGCGCTGCTTTTTTTTCTTGAGATTTATACATGTTCTTGTTTTTAAAGAGAACATGTTCAGATCTGATTCTACAAGTTTTATTCTGCCTGTGAGTAAATTCAAGGGTTGGATTAACACATGCACTGTCTGTGCATGAGAGCTCGGGCATTAGATTCTCTCTGCAGGGGAACATTTAAGGTACTTGAGATAATTTGGCCTATGAAAACAATAATTTTGAATGTTTTACTGCAAATAACTCATCCTGACATTCTGCAAAATGTATGATAGTGTTTTAAGCAGGGAAGAATATGCTGAATGCTGGGACAGCTCAAAACTTGCTTTAAGTTTTTCTTTGTCTCTTAATTAGCAGGTTTTGTGTATTTAAAACAATATTGTCCTGGTGCTCCTCTGAGTCAGAGGTGCAGATCAGCTCCAGTGCCTGTCAGGTTGTGTGACAGTCAGATCTCAATCATTTTCCATATCCAAATTTACCACTACAAGGCTGCCTTGTGCAATACTTAATTTGTCTGGGCCTCTGTTAAATATCCTTTTGTGTCAGTAGAATTTTTACAATAATTGAATCCTCCTGACACAGCGAGTGCTGATAGCAGGTAGCTCTTGCATGTTCATTCTCCCTTCTGCATGCTTAGGGCTAATCTTCTGTTTTAATTGTCTGTGTGTCCTTTCAAGGAGGCAGGCACTGCCTTTTCCTTAATGAAGTCGAGTTCTTTTTCTTTCTATGGTTTCATTCCAAGGAATGCCAAGGAACAAACTTTAAGACTCTACTGTACTGTATTTGTGAAGAAAAGTAAAATGTCACAAATAGGAATCCACTTTAAAACAGAAAATTGTGTACAAAACTCTACCATCAGCAAAGACTTGAGAAAGTTCTTGGCAGTTAGAAATTCACGTTCTTCTCCCAACTCATAACAAAGAATGGTATGAGAAATACGTTTTGCACAAATATAGTCCCAAAAATGGGGGGAAAAAAAAGAGAATCCTAAACTTCATTACCAGGAATTTAGAACATCCTGAATCCTCTCATATTACAGCTTGACCCAACCCTACTCAATAATGAAAACCATTTACACCAACAGGAGAAGGTAGATTTGCCTTTCTGAGAAGGTGTAATTTGCTAATTAAAGGTACTGTTAATAAAACTTGTGTGTTGCAGAAGCAAAAATGACAATGACAGCTTGAGACCTTCACTGGCATGACTAGATGGGATTTTTAGCTACAAGGTAAAGCATTTAACACCTTTCTCTTGTAGTTATCTATTATCAGATACATTCTGCATTGCAATCCTAATAGTGTGAGCTGCTAGAACTATAAAAACTGTTAAGGAATGGGAAAATGCTGAAGCTATAAAAAGCATATTGGCATGATTCAATAGATGCTCTGATCAAAACAAAATGTGCTTCAATAAAAAGAAAATGCAGTTTAATTTGCTCTTGTCAGTGGTATGTGCTGCATTGCTTTTTTTTTTCTTGCATGGGAAAGAGGAACAGCAGAGAACAGGTGTTTGTCCTGCAAATGACCCCACAACCAGCAGACTTGAACAATTCTTCCCAGACACAGAATTTTGACTGAACAGAGATAGTTGCAAAGTCAGAGCCAAGCATGAAAACTACCTCCCTTTCAAATGAAAGCTTTTATTGGCACGACAGGGAAATGAATCGTGTTGTTTGGTGCAGTGCTGGGTATACTGAACGACTTGTTCACCTTCCAAAGGGAATCGGGTTACTTTTGAGATCCATATCTAATTGTAGTATCAGATCTTAAAGAAAGTAAGTTTGCTTGGTTTGTTCCAACAAGAAAAAACGGAGTTGAAGAAAATATTTCCTAGTAGAAATTCGATGAAAGTGCATACATTTTATGCTGTAAGTTCCAGCATTCCAAGATTGAATCTTTTTTTGAGTGAATGTGTGCACGATCCAGTAATAACAAAAGTTAGCAGAAACCTATTTTAGTAAAACCTCATTAATCAGGGCAATCTGATATAGTATACCTGATGTTCATTATATTTAATGAGAAATCACCAAGCAAATGTGCTCATTAGTGACTCTGGTATTGGACAGCTCTGTGAGAGGTACTTGTCTAAACCCTGTTTCAGTTATGTACATTTAACAAGCTCCACGAATAGCTCTGGGCTGCTTCCTGTTCCTCAGGCACTGGCAGCGCGGCTGAAATGTTATAAAACACGGATGGAGCTGCAGAGCAGGCTGGTTGTTTATGGGGGTGCTGAAATTTTGGATCCCACATCCTCCTCCGCTGTTTCTCATGGTGTGAGCGTGCTTTGGCAAGCTTCTCCTGGTGTTCACCTGCAGGATTTTGTCATTTCAAGAGTTGGTCCAGGCTTTGGAGAGCCATCCCAAATCCACACCCCTGTCTCCTGACCGCTTTTGTTTTATATTTGCACATCTTGCCCATAAAGGCAGTGGGTTCTGGGTTCTTGACCCAGAACTGGTGTTGAAACTAAATGGTCTTGAAGTCCTTTCCAACCCAAACCATTCCATGACTGCAGGATTCAATGATAGAGTAACAGAGCTGGCATTTAAGAATTCTCTCAGAATTSGTTCTTCTGCTCTGAACCTGGCCTGCCTTCAATGCTGGAATGCAAAAGCAGTTCACTAATCAGCCTGACTGCAATTAATATCTACCAGTAGCAGTAACCGTGATGCTTCCTTGAATTCCCAAGTTCAAACTTTTTTGGATCCAAGGTGAAAGGCAGAAGATGGTGCTATTTGTAATTAAAGTGCTCCCATGAAGAAAAAATGAAGACTGAAGAGTGAAACACGGCTGTGCAGACATCCATGTAATTTGATTTAGACAATGGAAAAATAGCCTGTACAAAGAAAAACCCATATCCCTTTTATTTTATTTTTTTTTAGTGGTCAGATGTTCTGGAGTTGTATTTTAGTAACAAACAACATTAATTATAAGAGTTTTCTTTTAGAAACCCAATATTGCTGAGACTAGTCAAAATCAGATGACGCATGCAATGGGTCCAGTTCCCATCACACAGATTAGCGAACCCGGGTACTTTTCATCCTGCTTTTGAAAACAAGAATCTACCACAGTTTGGATCGCAGGCGCTGGACCATCATTTATTTCCTGTTTTCACCTCACGGTCCCCAGCGTTCRCTCCCTGCCCGGGCCCTGCAGGACCGCGCCGGGGCCGCACCGCCGGGAGCGGGGCTTGGAGCGGGGGCGGCGGCACCGGGGGAAACCGGGGAGCCGGGGGGGAACCGGGGGCGGCGGGGAACCGGGGGGAACCGGCAGGGCCCGGGAGTACCGGGGAGGCGGCGGGGGAAGCCGGGGGAACCGGCAGCACCGGAGGGAGCCGGCAAGACCCAGGAGCATCGGGGAGGCGGCAGGGGAACGGGGGAAGAACCGGCAAGGCCCGGGGAACCGGGAAGGCGGCACCGGGGGGAGCCGGCGGCATCGGGGAACCGGCAGGGCCCAGGAGCACCGGGAGGAGCCGGCAGGGCCCGGGAGCCGCGACCGCTTTGGGGAACCGCCCTCAGGCCGGGCCGGGCCCGGCCCAGCCCTGCCCGCCCCGCTCCGCCCCGCTCCGCTCCGCCGTCCGCCCAGCTTCTCCTCCCGGCACATCCCTCTGCCCTGCCATCTCCTCCTCCCGGTCCTTCCCATCCCTCTGCCGTTCCATCTCCTCCTCCCAGCCCGTCCCTGTGCCCTCCCATCTCCTCCTCGCGTCTCCTCCTCCCGTCCCGCCCCTGAGGGGCCGGTGTCTCTCCCCGCCATTGGCAGAAGATGGCGGCGGCCGCGGGCTGGGCGCTGCTGGCCCTGGCGCTGTGTGCGAGCGCGGCGGCCGCGGCCGGCGGCACCGAGGGCAAGCCCAAGCCCAAGAAGAAGGACATTCGCGACTACAACGACGCGGACATGGCCCGGCTGCTGGAGCAGTGGGAGGTGCGGGAGGGGCCGCGGCCGGCGGGTGTGCCCGCAGCATGCGGGGGGCGGCGGGGCCGGGCCGGGGCAGCTCCGCGGGGCAGCGGCCGCTCTGCCGGCCCGGGAAGGCGGGGGATCCTCGGGACCGGGGGGGAGGCATCCCCGAGCCTGCTGGAGGGTAATTCCTACCGGGTTCCTTCCTCCGAGCCTCCGGTTCCGTGTGTGGGGGTTCAAAGCCGGGGCGAGCGGCCCCTGCCCTGCCCTGCCCTGCCCTGTCTCCCTTCCCAGCCCCCAGCCGGGCTCTCTGTGCCTGCCAGCATCCTCCGCTGGATGGAAAAGTCTGCTGTTTAAGAAATATTGAGAGACACACATTTTGTGACCGAGGGATGCATGGATAGATAYCAGGAGGAATATTCATTTCACGTTTACACAGTTGTTGTTTTGGTTTGGTATTTCATTCCTATGTTCCGTCATAGTAACAGCTTCTAATTCCAGCTCTCTGTCGTCGCCTGCATCCTTATCAGCCCGCTGCCTTAACTTTCCTTGGCGGTTTCCCATCACTCTTTTCTCCATGTGGTTGTCATGCCACTGTTCCGTTCTTTTCACTATTTTGTGTTCAATCATCCTGTAAATGCCAGAACACTGCTCATTGTCATTTATTCTTTCCCGAGAGGTTTTTTCCTGGAATATTTTGCAAAAAACCCTGAAGGAAAAATAGAGTGAAAACTTCTAGTTCATGTAACACCAGCTGSAGCTGTAAGTCAAGGTGGAAAAGTGTGTTTTATGTGTAAATGATTGGTAAAGTAATGAGAAGTATGGATGGCTGCCTTGGTCCTGGTTGGCAGGTTATGGACTTGTTCATCCCATGGATTGTTACTGCATGTTTCCCTTTAGGAAGGGAGCTTCTTAGGAAATTGAGTTAAAAATTTAACTAATTAGTAAAAAGCTCAAAGTTCACTTTTCTGTTACTGGTAACAGCCAAGGACCCAGTAGGTCCAGCTGCTAAAAAAGTCAAGGCTTAAATGATAATACTGTCCAATTTGAACTGAATTTGACCTTGTAGGAAAAAAAATCTTAGAAAATGAGCATCTCTTTTGAATGAGATKGCTGAAAGGGAGGCTCAGGTTGATGTTTGATCAGCTCAGCTCCTGACCCTCGAGGCTTCTGAAGGAGAATATCTTCAGCTGCTGCTACAGTTCATGTTCCTGATGGAGTGATGCATCTTGGAAGTCACGACACCCCCTAAAATATCTGCCTTAATTCCTGCTCATTTAGTGCTGCTTGGGTGGGTGTCAGTGTAAGACCTCTGCGTTTTTTTTGTTCTGTTTTTTACTTCTCAGTTCTATGATGCAAAAGCTGTTTCAGAGACCAAGTTCTGGCTTAATGGAAGTTGTCACCATACTCAGCTCGCAGTTTTGAGCTGTTTCAAGGGGCAGCAATTTGATTGTGCCTTTCCAAATATTTAAATGGCTGTCAGTCTCAGCAGAGGCATCAAGAGGGTTTTTTTTTCTTTTTTTTGTAGGAGTGATTTCCTCTGCGTGATTATGTTGTCAGACTGTGAGCTTCATCTGTGCATTAGAAAAGTCATGAAACCTTTAATCAAAGTCTTTCTGTGGCATAAGCATTGAAAATCTGAATTCTTGTGGGTTTAATTGTTTAAAGACACAAAGTAAGGAAATTTAAATCCTCAAGCAATCACATGATACCCAGAAGTGAGTTTTGACCTCCRAAAGCAATAGCAGATTAATGATTTTTCATGTATGTATGAGGCTTTTTATTGCAACTTTCCCATTTTATCTTGCACACTCAATTAATTTTTGTGATACTGTGAAGAAAAAAATAGGAGTTTCCTAGGTGGAATTGTATTAAATTAGCCTTAAGGCTGAAATATTTCTCAGTATGTGATAACCTGAGATTCCACCTATCAGTATGGAMATGTGCATCATTTTGAGGGGAGGGTTGTAAATGGGAAGCACTCTTGGTGAAGTATCTTGAAACAACAGTCACTATTTATTTTGGTTTCACAATCTCCATCATTCAACTAAAAAATAGTTTATCAAAACACAGTTATACTGTAAACCAAGAGAAATTAAGAAAAACCCAAACCCCCAAAKATATTTGTGGAACAGTTGAGTTTAAAGCCTTCTTGTYCTTTTCAAAACAGAAGGATGACGACATTGAAGAGGGAGATCTCCCTGAACACAAGAGGCCTCCAGCACCAATAGATTTCTCAAAAATTGATCCAGGSAAGCCTGAAAGCATCCTGAAGCTGACCAAAAAGGGGAAGACTTTGATGATGTTTGTCACAGTGTCAGGAAATCCCACAGAAAAGGAGACAGAAGAAATCACCAGCTTGTGGCAGGGCAGTCTCTTCAATGCCAACTATGATGTGCAAAGGTGAGCTGTTCTGCACARGGATAAAGTTCTTGCTTTTGCAGAATTCTTTCTTCCTGAAAACCTTTTCAACTGTTCTTTGCCATTCCCAGCTCCATCATCCATTACAATTTCTGTTTCTGTAGTAGTTTATATGCCAGTTTGTTTCAAGTCACATTACAAAACTTGTGGTTTGGTGCAGAAATGTCTTCAGTGCTTATGCACCCGGTATAGCCCAGATTATTTTTGTCTCACTGTTTCAGCTATTCATCATTTCTAGCTGCAGTAGTTTCCCTTTGTGTGCTTGATGGAAAACGTCACACTCTGAAGATTTGTCACCACAAAAGGCTTTTTGTTCCTCTGGCTAAAAATTGTGACTTTTTTTTCTCTCTCAGAGAGAGAGCACGATTTTGAAACAGAAGAATGTTACACTCTTCAATTGAGGTGGAGAAGGATTGCAACAAGTGTATAAAGCAAATTTAATGTTCATTAGAGAATTTTATGTAGTGCCAAATTAGTTCTTAATTTRTTCCCTTATTCTTACTTYCTTGGTYTTTTATATAYTTTATATATTTTATTCTTAAAATGTCCTAGAAGATTGTTCTCTTGTCCCCATCCCTAGGCAACAACAAGACCAACTTCTTGCTCTTATACATAGGCCTCAGTCATGGACACTCTCTGAGCAAGTACTGTGTGTTTGAAAAGTGTTTGAAAAGCATAGAGTTAACTGAAAAAAATGATATTTTTTTCCTCTAGGTTTATTGTTGGCTCCAATCGGGCCATCTTTATGCTGCGGGATGGTGGCTACGCCTGGGAGATCAAAGACTTCCTGATAAATCAAGAAAGGTGTGCAGATGTTACTCTGGAAGGTCAGGTTTATCCTGGCAAAGGAGCAGATGGAARTGAGAAAGTGAAAAACAAAACAAAACCTGAAAAAACGAAGAAGAAAAAGGAAACAGAGAAGAAATCTAACGGCGTCAAAGAGGACAACCGAGCAACCACCCAGAGAGAGGATCTATGACAGTCACAGTACCCAGACTGAATCCTGCTCTGCTGCTCCTTGAAGGGAATCTGATGAGTCCTGGCTTTATTGGGGGTGGGGAGGAAGGAAGCAGAGACTACTGAGATTTAAATTTGTGTTGAAGTTCACCAGTTTACTCATTGCTGTTGGCCATTTGTTTAGTTACAGGAAAGGTAATGCTTCAYGCCAGCAATTGACTGCTTTAGTTTGTAATTTTTTTGTGCTTTTGTTGTTGTTTAAAATTAGCATACAAATCTGTGTGTCTAACATCACAGCCTTGAATTTAAGTGGAAAAGAAAGAATTATGGTCTCAGAATCCACTGATGTTCATCTGTAGTAGCTGTGTCCATCTTGGGTGTGCAAATCACCRTTGACAGCTGCTGTCAGAGAGCCAGGTGCAGTGTAAAATGATTCTCTTTGAAGGTGGTTTGATAGATACAGTTGGCACAATATTGCCCAAAGTTGAAAAGAATAGTGGCCAAAGATGCCTGAAATTACAGGGGTAAGGTCAAGCTTGGTTAGACTGCCTGTTTCTTTAAAATGAACTCAATCAGTTCAGTCCCAGGAAATCTGGCAGTGCTTAGGAGCATTGATGGCAGCTGGATGGGGGCTCAGCTAATGCACTCCACACAACTGAAACAAATGATAGAACTCTACAGAAAGGGTGCTCTGTGCCCTCAGAACCACAGCACCTGCAGGAGCAGTGTCAGGGTGAAAAGAGAAGATAAATCCAGGGCATTCAGGGTGCTCGTGCTGCTGAAGGACTGTGCCTGTTCGTGTGCCCTGGTACCCAGGCAGTGAGCTGGAAGAAATAGCTTTAACTCTGAAGGTAATTTGGTTTATTGATTTATTTTATTTAAATATTTGAAAAAGCACAGCGTTAAACTGAGTTAGACATATCACTTACTGATGCTCAATAACCAGATTTTGGTGGGTTTTTTTTTTTCTTGGTCCAGATTCCTGATTGACGTGGTTGRTTGTAAAAGACCATTTGATTTGAATACCATGGAGTTGGATGTGTGGGAGCTAAGACTTTGTCTGATTGGGGAGGTTTTATYATTACTCAGATTGTATTCAGGCCAATGCATTTCTGAACAAAGAATTGTTTCCCTTTTGCCTTACTACCAGTTAGGGCCTAAGTGCACCGAGTAGTGTGGTCCACATCATTTTGCAGAGGACAAGCACAGTATAAACTGTCTTCATTCAATATTGGTAATGTGTTACTTTTTCTTTAAGGTGCTAAAATCCAAGTGGTTTGGATAAAAGGTCCTAATTGAACCATAGTGGTTGATCTTGTGGAATACTTCGGTGTCAAAAGTACGAAATTGTGGCTGAGTCCTTGTTCTAAAATAAAAGATGTCATTAAACTTGCTGTTTCATAGAGTAGTAAAACTTTTAAGTTGTTCTGCATTTAGTTATGTATTYAAGAGGCAGACTAACTCAACTTTGGTTTCTGTATGGAAGGACTAAATGATGATGAAGGTTCCAGTTGATTCATTTTATTTAATTTTCATTATATTTGTATGAATTTAGGATTAAGGAAACCTTTGCAGCTGCATTTCATTAAACAGGTCTGTACCTGTTTGAGTGGAAAATTAAAATTTGTTTCTTCAGGATTAACTATTACATTTTATATTCTGCTGCTAATCCAGATGTGCAGTGGAGTTGAGAAGTCTCAGTAGATAYTTGGATAGCTGAGGTGTGCAGTCCAGTTCTTGTCCATAACTAATTTATCATTTGGTCACATATTCTGGGTTTGCACCACCTTTTATAAGCAATGCTGCTTCTCAAGAGAAGAGCAAAGGTCAGATGAAACTAAAAAAAATGAAATATTAATGAGTTTTTGCTTTTCACAAGTTATGGTATAGAGATGACAATTCAGATTTTGATCAGAAACACACTGAAGTGCAGTTTTGTATTTCTTCTAATGTTGTTATTTCTTTTTTGATCAAATTGGGTTTGAGATTGTTGGAAAAACAATTACTACACTATAGCTGTAGTCCAGCTTTYGAGTATAGATACTTCAGTAATTCATAATTCTGTATTTACAGGAGATTGGGTCTTTCCCTTTGGTAGTTAAAAGGAGCTTTGTTGAAATTCAACCAGCCAATTGACCAGGGTTTTTTTTTTGTTTGGTTATTTCTGAGTCAGTTGCCTATGCCAAATGCAGGTATGTCTTGTGCCACATAGCTTATTCAAATTTCAAAGCGTTTGGGGTATTTTTTTGTTTGGTTATTTTTTGGGGTTTTTTTAGGTTTTTAATCTATATGATGACCTGGTAGTTGCTTTTTGCTATAAAACACAAAATGCTGCCTTCACATAGGTTCCTTTTATTGTCTCCCTTTTTTCTTCTCCTTTTTTCATGYTTTATACTCAACAAATACTGAAATATTTGTAAGTATAATATGGCAGTCTTGCAGGAACTGCTGTACTGCAGCCARTCTTTCTCTGTTATCACATTTCATTATTCAAGAGCAACTTGAATTGCTTTTTAACACCTGTAGAGTCTTTTGAGACWGTTGCACTGTCCTGTAGTGTTTGGTGATGATTTAAGAAGCCCAAGCCCTATCACACACATAAATGTATGCATATATCAAAATAAATATCCCCCAAGAGCTACTTAAGGTCACTAATGTTCTGTGAGTACCTTAAAAGATGGATTTTTTTATTGGAGGCTTATCAGACTTTCAGTAACAGGTTTTTTGGTTCCACATACAGGACATTCAGATACCTCCTTTAAAACTAATTTCAACAAGTCGGGTGATAATTACAGCTCTTACTATTTTCCTTTTATTTCAGTTCTRTACAGAGGTACGTGGAAAATCATCTGTTTTCATGACAGGGAAAYATCTGCTGCCTTTCTCCTCTCAGCTTAGTGGTTTCTCTATTCTAATTCTCTAATTCTAACTTTTCTGAGCTACAGTTAAATTTTTAACCCAGCTGTCCTCAGAAAAAACAGTTTGTCATTGATGCTACACAGGATGTGGTTGCACTTGGTGAAAAATTTCCAATGGACAATCAACTTTTTTATGTAATAAAATATTGGAAAAGATATTCTGGGTTTTGTTGATTTGGGGGTTTTCTTTAAACTGTTACGAACAAACTTATAACAGGATTTTTGATTTCAGAGTCTCTAAACAGTCAGGTCAGCCTTGACTTCCAAGAGAATCTGCATTCTTGTCACTGTTCCTGAACTCTTTTCAGTTTTGTCCCAGGAAGGAAATCATAAATTAAAACACCATTTTGTAAAGATGCAGAACAACCTACTTTTATCTGATATTTGGCTGCTGTTCTCGGGTGATTTATRGCAAAGCTTAGAAATTATTTCCATTCTTTTATCTCTGGCTCATTTCCTTTTTTTATTCAAGAAGTAACATTGCCTTTTCCAGAGGGTTTATTGTTTTTTTTTTTTTTTAATTGCATCAGACATTTGTAGAAGTTCAAAGAACCTGTGCCTGAACAGGGGACATGCCTCTGTTTTTAAAATGCCTAATTCATTGCTACTCTCATGTTTTCTTTATTAAGATTGCCATCCTGTTAGGTCCATTGATACTCTTCTGTTTGATAATTCTTATTCTGGGATAAAATGAACTATTTTTGAATATCACTATTTTGTATCTTTTATACTGTGCTCTTTTAACAGGACAAACCTCACTGAACTCGGGTTGTGTCAAATTGCCAGGAGGGTTAGAGCTGCTTGGATCCAAGGAGAACCCTCTAGTTGTGTTTTTGGATGGTGATATTTCTCCTGGTGCAGTAGTCAGGTGGTGGGAGGGTGTTGGACACACCAGAGTTCTGTGCTGAGCCATTTTTGATCAGCATTTAAAAAGCTGCAGTAACACAACAATYCAGCTTTGCACTGCCAGGCTTTAGCCAAGGACAGCTGGTAAATGCTTTGTTCCTTTTCTGTGTGATGCTGCTGAACAGGCCAGTGTTTATATCAATTATCAGTGGCATTATATCAATTGTTTCTGTGATATGAAAACCATCATTTCACCTGTTAACCATCATTTAAATTAACTGTAAGAATTATTTTTAATTGGTGTTACATATATTTTTTATTATTACATGGATATTGGTATTTTGGGAGGGGAAAATGGGACATTTAAAGGAGCTTTAGTCTCTTTTCCATCTTATTGGTAAAGGCTTCAACTTTTCAGCAGCAGAACATTTTTTCTTCCTCAGTTGTGGATTGCTRTCTCTGTTGCAGTGGGACAGAAGACGCCCTCGTTTTTTTTACACAAGAGTGACTGGAACGCTCCAATTCATGAAGTTTATAACCAAAACTTTTTTTTCCCTTAGGTAATTTATTGATACCTTAAAATAAATTGTAGGCCCATCTTTACTGCCCATAAATGCTTCTTTTAAAGGCAATTAGCAGTTGTGTCTGAACAGAGGCTGGGCCTCTGTGTTGGCACCCTGCCCACTAATTCTGTGGGAAGCACTGACCAGAGCATTGAGTGCTCATTAAATCATTAATATTTAAATCAGTTTGGCTGCCTTAATTGGTGGCAGCGTTATATGTCATCAGAGCTCTGTGTGCMTTGGAAGGAGGAAAACAGCAAGGACCTGGACTTTGCAAGGTGCAAGGATTGAACAGCACCGTGAAGTGAGCTGGATCTTGCTGTAAAATAAAGTTTTCTCTGTAATGAGGAAGACTGAATTATACAGGAATAATTATAGTGCAAGGATGTATTGAAAACAAGACCATGGYTGAGCACATGCTGAGTCAATAAAGAAATAACAAAAAGGTTTCATAGGTGTATTTATGTGACCATTGCTATTATTTCTGAGATTCAGGCCTGCAGGCCATGTTGTATATTTGCTATAATTTGTCCTTGAGCAACTCTTTGATTCAACTTTTGCAAAAAGAAATGAGTCAGYTTTCATCCCCTCATCTAAAGTATTTCAGAAGTATCCAAAATAGTGCATATTTGAAATTACATGAGACTTTTATATGAGTATTTTATTATTCATGCCAATTGTGTCCCCAGCCGTAGCCTGTGACTTGCCAGCCCTTGCCTGTCTGCCTACAGCATGTTAATAACGGGGTGGACTTCAGATAATTGCACTTATAATAGGATGGAGTTGCCAGGGAGCTTAATGGAGCCACAGACATGCAAATGCTTTGGCATTTAAGACAGCAGTTGAGCACAAGGTTTGAAAAAAACAGCTTTCTTGCCTTTAATGTGRGTGCCAGGTAGTTTGCTGTGAACTAATGAGCTGTGCAACCTAATGAGGAAAAGACCACTTTCCATTTTATCACCGCTCCTCCCCATCACATCACCATTTAAGCCATATTGCTCAGCTCTCAGATAACCCAACTAAAGCCTGAAATGTATTTCAGCTTCTTATAACATTGTTMTTTCTGTCAGTAGTCATTAGCCAGGACAGTCTCGCTTTCTGGGATGAGAAAATCAACYTTAGATTTGTAATCAGAGCAAAGATGTTCGAGAGATGTAGCTGTACCATCAGAATACTGGAGCTGCTCTACAGGAAAGCAGAAATAAAAATCAGATCAGTCCATTAATTAATTCCCTTAGGTGTTGCTATCAAGTTTGCTTTCAGGTGAGGTATTTGTGCCTCAGAAAACATCATCCTGTGCTACTCACCGTGCACTAACACAGCAGGAGAGGAGATGGGGCTGTGCTGTAATTTCACTGCAATCTTACATCACATTCTCCTCTGGCAAAGGGGGCAGACCCTGATTTGTAGGGTTTTCTCCCGAGCGATCTCCCGTTGGATCCTGCCCTTGCTCCCTTCTCAATCCCCTCACCATGTGTGAGCAGCCCAGCTGAGCCTGACAGCCCCAAATCGCGGAGGGTCTGTTCGCAGTGCCCCAGCTCTAACTGGGGATTTGTTTTTAGGGTTTTACCGGGAGGGTTCGTGCCCGGAGCGGAACCGGGAGCGGCCACCGGAGGGCGCCCAAGGACAGCGAACCGCCTGGCCCAGAGAAAAAATAATATATAT